GTAAATAGCTAGGTTACTGGTTATTCTAGGTTAGTTAGCGTAGTTTTTCTAATCACTACCCTAGGTTGGCTAGATAAAGAACCCTACACCTGAAGTAGGGTAATCCTAGATCCCCATGGTAAGATAAATTCTTATTGCTTGCTTGCCCTATGCTACACCCGGTTGGCGGTTATACTTGATCGTCGATCGGGATGTTGTAGTTAGAACGAGTCAAAAGACCTTAGGAAGTAACAAGGAGAATGACCCATTCTCAATCACCAGGTAAAGGAAGGGCTAGCTGAGGTGGATCCCGAGAAGAAGCAAGGCAAGGTGAGCAGTCGTACCATCATTGAGGAGAATTCAAGGAGCTTATGAGAAGTCAGAGCTAGAATAATTTGTTTACTATGTTGCACGGTTAGGAGTATAAACTAGAGATTTTGGGTTAAGTTGTTTTAAGTATTTGGATTGTGATTGCCTAAGTGTTAGGGCTTTTCATTTGAAATTTATAAATATTGTCAGTTTGTTTATTTTGAAAAGTGGTTTGGGTTGCTTTGGAGTAACCGATTTTCTGTTTGAATTATGGTTTGGTTTTCGGAAGATATCGGGTTGTTTCGTTTTGGTATCAGAATTGACACTCATTTGTTCTTTGGTCCCCAAGGAATACTAGAGTGGCGATCTGTGTTTTTCAAGGTTTCTGTTTTAAAAGGAAAGGAAAAATGGAGCTTGAGGTTAAATGTTTGGCCAAATGAGTCAGGGTTCTTTTGAGAATTTTTAGAATCTCCAGTATACCCTAATCATGATTAGGAAAATAAATCTAAGAGATGGGGTGGATTTTGACGAGGATCGTTTAGTTAAACCCTGTTCATGAGTAAGAAGAGGAGGTCCAAGGCATACCCTATGGGGATGCGAGCTGATCGGTATGAGGTTCAGGAAGACGCCAAGTATCTAGTACGTCGACCTGCAGTAGTCAAGAAGTTACGGCAAATGGCGGTCATCATCTAGAGGAAAAGAGGCAAGGAAGGTTCGTTACATTCGCGAGAATCGCACGTAGGGTTACGACCCCAAAGAGTAGGGGAAAATTATACTTTAAGCAACAATAAGGGCACTTAAGCAAGGCAAAGGAAGAAGTAAGTGGGTCATAGGGAACATGATAAGATCTCAAGGGATACAGTACGCCTCTAAGAAGAGGGATCGAGGACCTGGGGAACTAGGTCGACGGAAAGTCTTTTAAAGGAAGAAGTCAACCATCAAGATAAATTATGTGAGGGAATGTGGCTGGAGCAAACTCACTAAGTAGCTAATAAGTGCAAGCTAGAGGATAAGGTATGCGAGGGATTCTTATCAGATGGAAATACGTTCCGCCGTAGCAAGATAGGCATGGAGCCGGATGGTGACGAGTTCCGCGTTCCCTGTTGCCCAAGTTTTAAGAAGCCACTAGGTGGTGATATGTGCCACAATAGCCAAAATTCAAGTTAAGGGGCACCATTGAGAGGGTAGCCAGTTTTAAGTATGTGAGGCTATTGGTGGCGCCAACTAAGTCGAATTACGCGGAGAGATTCGAGAAACCCTACAAGTTACCATAGTCACGGAAGCACAAAAATCCAAGAGACACAAGGAGCTTCGTCGGACTAAGGTAGGTTAAGACTTGGACCTCGAAACCTGCCCAAGAAAAGTCATCAAGTCAGCCGAGGCTGGACAAGAAGGTAGGATGCTCGAGGAAAATTTTAATAAATATCAGAGAAATGCAAGTAGGACCTTCGAGGAAAATTTTCAATGGACATAATAAAGAGGACCTAGTAGCATACCAAGAAAGAGCAGGAAGGTAAAAGAAACTCGATGTAATTCAAGGGAGTCAAATGGTCAGGTTTAAGGAAGCCATTTCTAGACCATAACGAGGGGGAGACATTAGTGACCTTGGGAAGTGTGTGAAGGACGGAAGGGCATGTAAGTCCCTAGACAAGGAGTTGAAACGAGGGTAAGCAAATCGACCTCAAGGAAATGCACAAAAGGATATGATAAGGAAAGCATTCCCAAGCAAGAGGAGCATGGTAAGGAGCTTTCTCGAAATGTCCCACTCTAAGTCGGTACAACAAGGTAGGATGCCATCAGGAGGAGGAAGCTAGTTAAGGATAAATCAAGGACGGCCAGAGGGGACGACCTAATGAATCATATTCATTATGATAGGCCACTGTGAACCTGAGCTAAGAGATTAAGGTCATGGCCAAGCACCATCGTGAGTAGAAGTCATGGGTGATATATATCAAGTCTACCTAGAGCAAGTTGCTAGTGGAAATGTTAACTTTGTGGAATGACGAGGAGCTACTGAACTAAGCTCGGGTATCAAAGCAAGAACCAAGCATCGATAAAGGGGTTGTGAAAGTAAAGGAAGTATAAATCCTTGTAGTAGAATGATTACCTCAGGTGAGACTTTGAGCTATCACGATGAACACATTTCGAGGTCGAAATTTTTCTTAAAGGGGGGGAGGAAAATGTGATACTTCGACTTCGATTAAAGGTCCAACAAAAAGTACTGAATGAGCAGACCAATGAATTGAATCGAAATTTTGTCCCATCACTCCCTGGGCCCAAATTGGAAATTTGATGAATAGTAGAGGGCAATTAGGTCGTTTTAGAAACAATGGCAGTTTGGGGATTTTGAGGAATTTTGGTTATCAATCGCCAATTTACCATGCTAGTGATTAATTCGTAATTGGTAAAGGTTTGAGTACCGGATTGAAATAGGCCGAGTGAGACTGAAATGTCAGAATAAGAAAGTGGGAATTGTCCTGTTGGACACAATTGTGCAATTCTGAAAGTATGGGATAGAATTGGTGAAACTCAATAAGAAAAGGTACCATTTGGTAATTGGCCATTTTGGGGCAAAAAGGTAATTTTTCATAATTTTGTAGGATAGCCTATGAAAGATTAAATGATGGAATTCGAAATTCGAATCAACCAAATTGGAGGTCGTTAGGTTAGTTACGCTTGGAGATAACTAAATTAACTTTTGCCTAAATACTTAATTGGAGGAAATGCAAAAGGAGGTAAAGCACGAGAAGTTTGGGTATAGAATCTCGGATGATGACGTGGGTCAACCAGCAATAAATAAGGGTCGTCTTTTCGAAGTGAGTGTAAAGGGGGTAATATCTCAGTAGTAGGTCTTTTAATTTATGCACTTAGTTTAAGTAATTCTAGTTAATTCTTATGAGTTTGCGCGATCATGTGTGTGAGGCATCCCACCACCTACTTAAGGCGGAGGCACGCATTGTGCTATGTATGATTGTATGTATGGTTGTAATTTATGGTTAATGGTAATGGAACCCCCGGACTGTTGGGCCACTACTGGACACGGTAGATGGTCGGATCACTGCTGGACGGCGATACGTAATGCATCAGTTGATCGAGTTATTGGGTCACAGCTGGACGACGATACGTAACGCAGTAGTTGACAGGGCATGGACTGGACGACGATACGTAACGCAATACCATTTCCTTGAGGATAGGGACACCGACGATGATGCATAACGCGGTGAACCCTATTAATAAGTATATAAGTTAAGATAGAAGTAGGGAACTTCTATAAGCTATTAAGGACTAAAGTGTTAAGGATGAAAGCAAGAACGACTTTCATGTAGGAGGAAGTAATTTCTAATAATGTGTTAGTAGGGTTTGCTTAGGCAAAGACTTTAGGAAGTAACGACGAGAGTAACCCTTTCTCACTCACCAGGTGAAGAAAGGGTTAGCTAAGGTGGATCCCGAGAAGAAGCAAGGCAAGGCGAGCAGCCGTACCAGCATTGAAGAGAAGTCAGAGCTAGAATAATTTATTTACTGTGTTGCATGGTTAGGAGTATATACCGGAGATTTTGGGTTAAGTTGTTTTAAGTATTTCGATTGTGATTGCCCAAGTGTTAGGGCTTTTCGTTTGAATTTCTTAAACATTGTTAGTTTGTTTATTTTGAAAAGTGGTTTGGGTTGCTCCGGATTAACCGGTTTTCGTTTTAAATTATGATTTGGTTTTGTGACGAGATCGGGTTATTTCAATTCCTTTCTTGAATTTGAAAGTTTTTTTTAACGATAATCTGAAAGTTAAATGTTGATGTTATTTGATTGGTTCATGTATGAATGTTTAGATGTTTATGTTATTTGTTGGATTCAAGTATAGACTTTGGATGTTTGTGGTAAATGTTGTATTTAAATACGATGCTTTATCTTCGTGATCGATTTTGACCTATAAATAAAATGAAACGATTTTGGTGAATTTGATTAAAAAAAATAATTGTTGATTCATTTCTTGAATTTGAAATGTTTTTAATGATAATTTGAAAGTTAAATGTTGATATTATTTGGTGGATTCAAGTATGAATGTTTATATGTTTATATTATTTGTTGGATTCAAGTATAGACTTTAGATGTTTGTGGTAAATGTTGTATTTAAATATGATGATTTATCATTTTGTTTGGAATGTTGAATTTTATTTAAACATGGATGTAGATTTTAAAGAATTTGTCTTCAAATATGTTATATATGCCTAAATCCACTAAGTGCTAATGATTTTTCACTTTTCTATGTATTTTGCTAAAACTAGCATGAACGGACATAAACCGATTGTACCTCGGGCTAGAGATCACACATCGTCTTATTCTCTTTGGTTTGCGAATTGCTCCTCTTTTCCGATTTTTCACTTCACCTGACCCTAATTTTGAATTTCTAAGTTGAACATTTGAATATTGAAAGCACTTCTACTATGCTATAAAGTATTGGTGCTTTGATGTTATATGAGTGTATTGGAATTTTCATTATATATTGGATCAAAGTACGAACTATTATTTTGATGTAATGTAATGTATTATTATCTGTGTGCAAATGAGATTTGATATAATTTATAAATGTATGAAGTATGAACTATATAATTCTGAACCCAATTACTCGACCGGGGTGACGGACTAAACCCGGCCGAGAACTTTGACATCATCACTTTACTTGAAGGTGCATTAAAAAATTTTAATTGCAGCAGCGGTCTGCGGACATTCGTCAGTTGCTGTTCCCTCCTTCCCCTTTCCCTCAAAAAACAAACTTGGCTCTCTCTCCCTCTGCAAATCTCTGCTTCCATTCCGCCTCCCAGAGACCCTCCCACTTTCAAACGGTAACATTCACTCCAATCCCAAATATCTTTCTATTTTCGAAACGAAACATCGCACTTCGCTCCCCGGATCCTCTGTTCAGTTTTCACTCCCAAATCGCACCCCTTCCTTCAAATTTCCCGGTCCTTCTAGACTCTAGAGATCACACCACTGCTGATTCAGTCATGCCTCCCAACTCTTTCTCTTCCCTGCTTCTCACTCTCCTTCTGGGACTCCTCCTTCCGCCCCGTCTGTGGGCACAGCAGAAGGGGATTGGCCCTAGGGATCTATGGTGCGTCGCCAAGAACAACGCGGCCGACGCCGCTCTGCAGTCGGCCATCGACTGGGCCTGCAGCGCGGGCGGCGCCAATTGTGCTCCCATTCAGCAAGGCGGGCCGTGCTACGACGCCGGAGACATCCAGCGGACGGCTTCCTGGGCTTTCAACGACTACTACTTGAAGAATGGCATGACCGACGATGCCTGCGACTTCACCAACACCGCTGCCGTCACTTCCTTAAACCCTAGTGAGGATTCCTGCTCTCCCCCTTTTCTCGAGATCTGCTTTCGGCGTTGCTTTTGAATGGTCGGTTTGACCGGTCGATCGCTACTTTCCCTAACTTTCTGCTCTGCCAATGCTTCGATTTGCTCCGAGTTAGATGCGGATGATTTTTCTTGCAAAGTTTGACCTGCGCTTCTCTCTGTTGGTGTTTCCTTTTCCCCATTTTCCAGGTCATGGCAGTTGCAAGTTCCCATCAAGGTAAATGTTACTGAAAACTGTAATTAACTAGCAAGACAGCATAGTAGAAGTGCTGTAATTAACATCATTGTACTAGAAAATCAGGAAATAGCTCACTTTGACTTGGATCAATAGGCAAGCAAGTCCTTGGTTCGTGAAGGACACAAAGAGGAATGCACTAATAAATTAAGATTCATTTCTTGTGGGATATATTGCAGCTCCGGAGTGAAGAATGGGAGTGCTTCTTCAACTGCTACAGCAGTAGGAACGGGGCCGGCGGACAGTGCAGATATGAGCAGCTGCAACCGCATTGCAGCAACAGCAGCAGCAGGTAGCACATGGTTTTGGGGATTGTTGGCCGGATGTTTGATTGTCTTGTTGTTTAGATAGGAGAGATTGGTAACTGGCAGAATCACATGGTTTTATTATTAGCGCATCTGAAGTTAACATTATGGGTTGGCAAAGTGTTGGCAATGCATTTTCGCTCAAGGTTTATTTGGATTAGAGAAAGATAAGAAGAGAAGAGAGACGATCTTTAAGCTTACAGTGATAGCTGATCTGCAAGAAGCTCGTGCTACTGGGGAATTGAACATATCATCATCTCATGTTGCAGCTTGCTTCTTTTTATTGCAGCTTAGGTGGACTCTCTTTTTGGCCTTTGAATGATGAACTAGTTGCTAGGATGCATAGCATTAGAATTTATTTTCTTCGATTGAATCGGTTTCGCAGTAAGCTTAAACGTGAGTACGCAAACACGTACTCAATGTTTCCAATACAATATAGGGCGGAATTCACAGCATAATGATTAGAGGTGGCAAATGGATTGATCCATGGATTGGTGGATCCATGGATCAAATGGATTGGTGGATTTATGGATTAGATCAAGTGGATTGGTGGATTATCCATGAATCCAAATGACATCCTCAACCAAGGACTAATATGTAAAATGTGAAAATTTTAGGTACTAAAATGTCATAATGAAAATTTTTAGGTACCAAAACGTAATTTTCCAATAAGATTTTTCGTATAAAAAATTAAAATTTGGGTACCAAAATGTAAAATATAAAAAGTATACGTACCAAACCGTAATTTGTCATTTGGATCTATGGATCAATCCATGAATCCACCAATCCAATTGCATTTGGATCAAATGGATTGGATTAGATAGATATTTTTAATGGGTTGGTGGATTGAATTGGTGGATTGGATTGAGAATTGCCATCTCTAATAAGGATTCCAAGAGGCATAACCTAGGCAATAACCGAGTAAAGCTTCCTCTCAACTATACTATTATATCAACTATCTACAATACATCAATCAATATGTGAAAAAATCCCACTTCTAGGGACTCTAGGGACTGATCTTCGCTAACGATTAGGGATTTAGATGATAAAGAACAGAATAGAATTGGGAATCGACCGAGGCCTTGGATTAGGAGGGAACAGAAATTAGGAATTGAGAGGAATTAGGTTTAGAAGGATACTTTGCTTAATACTTTTCTTAACTCATTATGACGTAAACCCAAAGTACATATTTATAGGGTAAATACCGGAAAACCCTAATAATATCTTAATCCGACTAAATCTCTACTAATCATAATTATCATTATCTTATCTAATATAATAACATAAATCCCAATAGGGCGGGTATCTGACAATATGCAAGACCTGCAAATACACCACGACATTGTCCCTTGAACGTGCCAACAATTGAAGGTCTCTCAATAGTAGGGAATGATTGGAGCCTTGGGTGCAAGTATGGCTAGAAGTTTGGTACCGGTATTTGGGATATACCGGATACCATACCGAATTTGTCTATATTTGGCATTACCGAATACACGTATTATTTCTTGGGATTGAGATTGAATTTCAATTGTAAATCGGTATTAGGGATTACGGGATTGGGATCGATATATACCGAAATACGATCAATATCGAAATATAAGATAGTGTGTATTTTATCCTCTCAACTAGACTCTCTCATTCACTACTACACAACTCTCAACCACCAAGAGCGTCATTTACTTATGCATAGATCATTTCATCTTTGTTTCACAACTCAAAAGTAGGGATGGCAAAAATATCCGTAACCGTGGATATCCGCCCGAATCCGGCCTACTCGGGTAGGGTAAAACACGAACCTGAAGGACATTTAGTGGTTACGGGTAAAACCCAAACCCGAATATTGTGGGTAATGGGTGGGCATGGATTTCTCACTATCCGACCCGAACCCGCCCGATTTTACACATGCATATGTATTTTGTCTAGAAATAATCATTATTTTTCTCTAACATATTTTATATTTAGCATATAAATATAACATTTTCATGAAATTGTGTTGTTTTAGTTAATTTTCTTTATTCTAGTGAATTCTTGTGGTACTTTTTCTCTTACTTAATATAAGAATACGTGTGAATGTTAACATATTGGTTGGAGTTATGAAGAGAAATTAATATTCATGGATAACCGTGGATACCCGAAACCCGAACGAGTATGGGCATGGTTTTGATTTTCTACCCGTTTCACATGTGGGTATGGGTATGGGTAAAACCCGAAGTACTTTGGGTAGGGTAACGGATATGCACTATCCGCCCCCGACCCGACCCATTGCCATCCCTGCTCAAAAGTCCCCATCCAATTCAATTTTGACTTTCCAATTTAAGTCACTCTCATCTCTCACCTAATAACTTGTTATTTTCATAACACCAAAAAACAAACACTAGTATTAGTCGACTCTCTGCTTTTAATTCGTTAAATTAAAGATTACCAATGACAAGAACATGAGATGTCACCTCTCCTTCATTCTCCTTATCCATATCCTAGCTCTAGACTCTTTGTTTAGTCTTTTTGCCCTAAATTAAGCAATCAAATCTAATTGATATATTTAATTATTTATTTCAAATGTAATTAATTTCGTATTCGATAATTTGGTATTCGGGATTGGAATTGGGATACTGAAATTATTTAGGAATTGAGATTGACTTTTGGGTATAATTTGGTATTCTGGATTTCGGTATTTGGTATTGGTATACCAATACCGTACCGATTCTACCACTATTTGGTATTTGGTATGACTTTGACCGTGACCTTTGGTAAGCTCCTCTTCTCGATTGGTTTGGCTTATGATAAATTAAAAGGTTCGAAGTACATGGAGGAACATATAAGCTCTATTATAACAATTTGTGCTTCTATTACTAAAAATACCAACCTTAAGCCAGTGTGCCATCTATATTATGAGATTTTGTTTGCCATCTATTATGAGATTTTCAATATGTCAATTCTAAATCATTTTTTTTATAGTTAATTTTTCTTTTAGAAGTTAACAAAATACAGCCCCTTCGGTAACAATCCTCCAATAATATATGGTAGACTTTTATGTACTTTTCTCCATTTCAAATTTCATGCAACGAGATTGAAAGTAGCAAGGACATTTGTCTTTACAATTAATTCCCGTAGAATCTTTTCGCACTAAGACCTCGTTCATGGCCTTGCGGGCCACATCAAAGTACAAGTAGAGGACTTCATTATTCGGGGGGGGGGGGGGGAGTATTGGTGGATTTACAAGGTAATTTTTAACTTCGTAACATTAATTTCCGATAGGTGTCATGAAAGTTGTACTTCTTGATCTTCTTCCTTCATTGGAATTTGGTGGTACCCGGAGAACATGTCGAGGAAGGTGAGAAACTGCTGCCATGAGGTGGCATCAATGAGCTGGTCGATTTTCGGGAGAGGATATGGATCCTTCAGCCATGCCTTCTTAAGGTTGGTGAAACATATGCCACTAACCATTCTTTTTACCATGACGACGTTGGAAAACCATGTCTGGTACAGAACTTCCCTACTAAACCGAGCCTTAAGGAGTTTGGTGACTTCTTCGGCCACCACCTGGTGTCTTTCCCTTGCAAAGTTACGCCGCTTTTGCTGGATTGGGCGGCCACCGGGAACTATTCTAGCCGTGTGTTCGGCCACCCGAGGCTGGACTCCAGACATATCTTTCGGTCCCCAGGAGAATACTTCTTCAAATTCCTAGAGTAATGAAAGGAGGGACTGGAGTGACTCTCGGGGCCAAGAGTTCGATATGAGAACTGTGCGCTCATCAAAAAGTGAGAATTCCTCGTCGAGATCGACAGAAACTGGGCGAGCAGTTTCCTCCCGGACGTTGATCACGACGATTGCCTTTTTCTCCTAGCATAGACTGCAACATTGTCGTGCTAGAGCTTGGTCTCCTTGCATACACCCAACACCGGCTTTAGTGGGGAATTCGAGGCAGAGATGGAAAGTTGATGGAATAGTAATAACATTGAATTTTCACATGTTTTTTCTGTGGTTTCTTGATCGTTTAAACTTGCATTATTGCTTCTTTGTCTCATTTTACTCTAGATTGTGTTCATTTTATCATATTTCATGTCCTAGAGCGTGAATGAAGGCTTAGGAGCAAGTTTCAGGTCAATCAAAGATTGTTAGGCGACTTGGAGGAATAAACTTGGGCATGACCCAAATATAATGGATTTTTGCCTCATTTTATGGGCAAAGAATCATGTAAACTTGGCATGAAAAGAAAGAGGACGAGACTACGAGAGTCTGAGATCAAACGGCGACTGATTCAGAGTTCGGACGAGGGAGAACGAACCCAAAAATCAAAGACAGGGAAATGATTAGCAGCCTACTCCCAAGTTACGGGTTGACCTTTAAAGTTATGACGTCATTTTTGGCCGTAACTCAGGTGACACGCTACGACACAACTCCTAACAATGACCAAGTGTAACCAATGAAAGGGGCTGCAATATAGTGGCAAAGTAATAAATATCGAATCCACGGGTCTCTAGAGTTACTATTACTCAGTTTCAGTTCATTATCTAGCAAATCAAATTAAAGATTGATTAACTAAACTACTCTATTAACTAAACTAAGTAAAACTACTAATTACAGGTTGGGAACTCACTTAGGTATGATTCCCCCTAGCTCCTCAATTAGATCCAAGTTGTAATTTCTTTTGGTTGCTTTACTGTTGATTAAACTGCAGAAGATCCGATAATAGCTTGGAATCTCTTAAGCTGACCAAGCCCTCTTAGACAAAATACCCGACGGGTGACTAACCTCCACCAGAGTACAAAGCTAAGACGATACACAAAGATCTCCATTACTGGAATGAATTCCAGTATAAAGCAGTGAATTGACTGACTCTCGTACAATCAATTCCCTACTACCAATTGAGAAAGGTCTCTTAACCCAATCAGATTCTATCTATCATAGGTTAAAGTAGAAATCAAAGGAAAGTGATCAGGATTCAATTGACTCAAAAATCATGCCTCAATTGATTAAAACCACTCAGTATAACATCCAAAGTTTCAAACAAGAAAGATCCTAATACATGGAACTAGGGTTCCTCAAAGCCTAAGTGAAGGGAAGTTACTCCATAGAGAAGAGAGAGATTACGGTATAACTTTCCGGATCTTCAATCTTCATATCTAGACTTGTTCCTTGAGCTTCAATGGTGAAGAATCCTCCAAAATAGCTCCAAGAATAACTCTAGATCGCTCTCTCTCTCTCTCTCTCTCTCTCTCTCTCTCTTTGGTTCGTCCCTTGGGTGTTTGGGATCCAAAACCCAGCTCTCTATCCAAAAATCGCAAAACAACTTTTATACCAGCTGAGATACGCACCCCGTACTTGCAAGGTCATGCAAATTGGGGTTTTGGCCGTGCAAACCTCCTGGAAAACTCACACGGCCGTGCACAATATTACAAGGGCGTGCA